ACTGTACCCCTCAAGGAAAGGAGTCAGTAGAATTGAGTTATAAAGTGGTGATTACCTCAACGCGTTAATTTTTCCTTGTGAGAAGAGAAAGAACGAAACTGCCGGGTTCAGATGTCCACCTGAAATTGCAGATTTCTTATTTCATTTCTCCCGCATTGTGAAAATTGATATCGCTGCACTCCCTCGGTACTCTATGTACCTTGTAAATGCTATCACAATTCGGTGAAAAGTGCTATATCAAAAAAGATGGGCTACACGATTGATCTCCACTGATGGTGAGATGATATGAATGCTTCTGAAGGCTTCGTAACCACAAAGGGGACCAGTCAATATTAACGATATTATTTTGAAAGCAACTTTTGGTTTAGAATGTGGATAGAAAGAAGGTTTGTCAATCCAGATTCTGCATTCCAAACAATTTTTTGCCATAATGAGTTGCCCTACATCCAGGTATATTCCAAATTTCTTGAAGGTGGCATACGCTATATCGTGAGGATCGTGGGGTCAAAGTATGGAAACGAAGCCGTGTATCACCACTCTCCAGCGCAATTAGCGAGCACCTTCGAGCAATGGATAGTGGCACGTATCGCAGCCGAGGACCCATTCACCTCGCACATGGAAACAGCCGTCCTTGGAGGTGGGTGTATAGCTCATCTTTAAACAGACACGGCAGAGGCTCATGAAAGCGCTCAGTGGATGAGGGGCATGACGTTAAATGCACCCACGCATGTCATTATTTCATCTACTACCTTTACTAGGGCTTTGTTAACAATTTTCAGCCAACACCGACCTCCCTCAAACATCGATACATTTAGCTGTTTCATTATGATAACTGGTGTTTTACGGCTGCAGTCCGTCGACTAAAGGCGGTAGCAGCTAGCACTGTTTGGGCAGACCCAAGCAGGTGCCAGGGAGAAAATATGTATTTCTGTAACGGTGACTTACCCGATATATACGGTAGCTCATCTGTACAGCGAACAGCAATATAAGTCCCCAACCGATGGCCACAGCAATCCATTCGTCGGTTCGCCGTTGGGACAACACGAACTGTGCGTTTATCGAACAACCGCCAAACTGTAAACGTTTCAGATTTCGAAATGACCGACCCTTCAGTAGCTTTGTAGGAACGTATCTAACTTCATAGTTCTAACGTTTACTGGCTCATAAGCAATATCAGACCTGCCAGAAAGGAACAAAGGGGATCTCTTCATTGGTAGTCATCACATCAACTGGGTTGAGAGAGAGAGCTGACGCTGACGTGCCGGTTTACTAGTTGAATTGTCTGTGTACTGTACTACAAAATCTTTCGGCAAGTAGGTTGTTATGCTCTCTAAACGACATCTGTTCCGTAATATTCGCCGACAAGTAGATGTGTAGCAAGTACATGGGCTAACTCCTAAGTCATTTCTCGGATCCCATATTGCCGAAAAATTATGTTGGCAGGATTACAACAGTGTCCTGTGCTCTATAAACTCCAGTTCATAGGTTTAGCAATAGGAGAAGTGTCTACACAAGGAAAGCTTCTTTAAATTTCTACACTAGGCTTATCTTCTAGAACGCCTGGAAATGGTTCCTTGTGAGGAGTCGCGAAAAATCTGCACGACTTGTAGCGCTTCGAATAGAGCGATATTCGCATTCTCACCCTCACATCACCATGATTATTGAGAAGGAGAGCTCTTTCCTCCTGATTACTAATGAAATCGCATGGGACGGACGTCCCATCACGTTTTTGAGCCTCTCTTCCCTCAACTCGGGATATATGACCGAGGACATGATTTATGCGAAATAACGCTAATACTGCAGTGAGGGAACAGAACATGCTTCAGGAGAACATCTACTGTGTAACACCTCGTGATAGCACAGAGAAGCCAGTTCGAGAGCTGAGTTCTCTAGCATTACTTCTGTGTTATTGCTATAGTGGTTTCCGACAGATGAGCTTTGCCAGTGACACTGTACTATTTACGAACAGTTTTTTAATTAGTGGATACCGTGAACACGGGGAAATCATGGCCTGAGGCAAATTTCTCAATTAGTTCACTCGAACTAGTGTTTTGCGCATGAGGTGAAGAATGAAGAAGGACCCCACAGTTTAATAACTTGTCTGCACGCACATTAAATCTAACCTCTCATACTGGTTGGCTTGTGCTGGAGTTCGGGCTGTCTTATCTCTCTGTTATATGATCTCTGATCTCAAGTCTCTAGCCTTTGACCAGTGTCTTTTTAATCCTTCTAGGCATTGTTCACAGTTTACGACCTTGTGAGATTGACGAAAGAGGCGTATCCTCGAGAAAGTTTCAATACGTGCTTTTCTTTGAAACCACTACGCAGCGCATGCTCAGGGTAGCGGAATTCCGTCCTGTCAGAATTATTGAGAATTAAGGCTTTTTTTCGCGGGCCTTTGACCGTTTCACTTCGTTTTTCGCCTTTTTTTCCACTGCATAGTACTTGCTAGCATTTCTAATTCGAGTACCAAATTATAGTGCCAACTGCCTTCAACTAATTATTCACCCAGCGTGTAGATTCACACATGGAGTGCCACTGATGGCTGGGAGCGGGTGGTTGTTGCCAACGTCATTAGCGGAAGGGATGAAAGAGGCGTGACCGCCCTCTCGTAACAAAGATATGTCTTAGTTCAATGAAATCGAGTACGTGAAGGGTCCGGTAGGGAAGTCGTATCGACACCTTCTTGGTCTTTTCACTGCGAGGTACTGGGACTGATCTAAAAGGTAATACCCTAACAAGTACGTCATTGTGTAACATCGAAGTTTTTTTTATAGATCCCTAGTCAACTAGGAATTGTGCGAATACTCAGGAAAGCAATCGGAAGAGAAAATCAACTTATACAACGAAACAAACCAGCAAGAAGCCAGTACAGAACAATTCAGCGAGAGCGGCTCGATATAGTTCGTTGCCGATGTGTAGCTTTTCCCGGAGTCGTTCCACTAAATTCATGTCCTCCTATAATTGAAAATCGATCGTGGATCAGTTCCTGTTTTGTGCTGTGCAAAAATGAAATTATGCACTAACGACCATTGTTCCAGGAGAGCAGGCGTAGACAAATTTCTTATCATGTCTAATTACATACGAGGAAAGATATGGGAAATCATAAGAATGCCGAAATAAGCTTGTGAAAGTGAATTTCCAGAAGTTCTTGAAATCTTGCCAACGCAAGGGGATGAGCCCTTCCAGAGAAATCACGTAGAAAACCAGGAATACTTAAGTGAGGCGTTTTTCAAACTCGTTATTGAAAATAGTATAAGATAGTAGAACTGACAGGTGTTTCTCCGGCTCTGTACAGACGAAGGACTGAGGAAGTTCTACTTGAATCGAATGATTAAGGAACATATGGATAGTGCTCATATAGTCCTTATCGAATATTAATGGCTGCTCTCAACCTGTAGCGATATTTGCACTTTTTTACGGAAATACTGAATTGATCGGAAAACCTTACTGGTTTTGATTATATGGCGTGTATCAGTCGTTTTGTGACGCGTAAATGATAAAGCATTCTCAAAAGCGGACCGTTTTCTAATGGTACAGTTTCTCGTGTATTTGGCATGTTTCCTTCCATCTACTTTAACACTCCTCGGATTGTCTTCATTTAGGATTGGCACAAAAGTGCTCTTTGGCATCTGATGGGGCTTTTCGGTTTCCAAGCAGTACACGCCATCATTGTGATGATCGCAACGGGGGTGGGGGAGGGGGGGTCGTGCTTGACCGCGAAGGAGGGGGATCGTATTTGCTTCGAGGAAAAAAATTTTTCTGATAATTGATTTCTTCTTTCACGGAAGAGGGGGGAGGGTCGTATTCGTCTTTGGGAGGACTTTGCGGCGTTGGGAGAAAATTTTTCTCGGTTGCTCACTTTTTACGGTTTTTCCGTAGCACTGGTGTTGTATACCCCCACCTATGTAGGTGGTGGTGTTGCCAAGGTTCTATACAACTCTATTTCCGATAGTCGAAAAGTGTAGTTGGTTCCCCCGCCGACCTTTCTTCCCCCACCCTCGCTCGACAGCAAAATTTTGGGAAGAAATTCAGAAATTTTTTTCCAAGGAGAAAAACTGGGAAAATTGGTTAGGAAGTTAAGAAAATACTAGGAAAAGTTGTTAAGGATTAGGATGGGGAGGGGGAACTCAGGGGTGTATCAGACTGAATGGAATAGGTGCAAAAATCTACACGTGGGTGGTCGCGTTACGTAATTTGCAAGGCAGTTTATTCGCATAAGCGCCGGATTGTGCCCCCAATCTAAATTGTCGCCCTGCTTCCATAGGCAAGTATTGCGGCGTGTCAAGCGCAGAGAACGAGCAGATAACGTCTTAATAGCTTGTGCCTGGGCTAGGCTGGATCCACTAATGGTACCATTGCTTAGGACTGTACTCAAGGAATTCTTCTGTGTTAGCGGCGCCATACAAAAATATCGTCGTGCAATTTTCAAGAAAAAAAAACTGTGCAATTGTAAAGTGACACCCGAGATAGCCAGGAGAGCCCAGTGTTAAAATAACTAGTAAAGACATCTACGCAAGGAAAGCAAGATATTGCCATCAAAAAATTGATTAGCTGAATGATTGTCAACACTAAAATTGGTGTTTGTCCCAAATCGCAAAATGAACAACTGCAAACGTTCCGGCTTTCCAGCAAATAATGGCGTACGGCACGTAACTGATGATGAGTCTTTCAATATTCTTCCATGCAAACTGACAATACTGTTTCCTCACAGCTACATATATGTATACCTGACTGTCTTCGTACCGTCCATTGTTAGCAAATAGCTCGAGGGTAGGAAGGTTTATGCGACACTTGAAAGGGTTGTTTTGTAAGGCCGCTCTACGTGATAGTGCCTGTAAGGCGTCCATAGAAAGGTTAGACGCAGAATAATGCAACAGTTTTCAGACTCGCAGTCACCTTCAGGTCTCTTCAGATAGCGCTCTGGCAAGGAGGTTCATTCAATCAATTAAAGAAAGGTGCCGTTTAATACACTCAAGATCGCCCTAAGATGCGCGAGAAGTAGTCGTTGGCGTGCTTAGAATGAAGTGGCTGGTGGCTAAAGCTTCCTGTGATATTTACAGCTGTGTAACAAGAAGTATGGTGGAACCACGGTCAGAAATTTTGTCCTGCAGAATTGCGCATTGAATTTGGCGCATATGAGACCTTATGTTGGGAATTCGTCACAGAGCAAAAACATAGGAATACATACTTCTGACCACTTTGTGAACTACTGTACAATTATTTATTGTTTTGAAAAAGTTTCTTAATAACAAAAGTATGTGGACACTTAACAAAAAACAAATGTATCGTGGGAAATAGAAGTTGGTTTTTCCTCCAGCGTTCACTATTACTTCGAACATTCTGTCTGGCATGCTGTGGACAAGATTTGTCATGGTGTCTTCGTCGATTTCCTCCCATGCAGCAACTGCCGCCTCCTTCAAGTCTCGCACGCTGCTCCTGCTGCATCACATGTGTCCTGCATCGTGCCCGCTCAGAAAAGGCAAGAGGTTAGACTCAAGCACTCCTTGGTATTCCTGACTGTTCATACAGCACGATGGGAAGGCAAGCTCCAACTTTCCTCTGCTTCCAAAACCACCCCGTACCATCAAAGAGGCGCCTCCGAAATTTCGTCTCGAGAACACCAACGGATCGCTACAAAGGTCTTTCCAGTAATGCTGATATCCATCTGGACCGTCGAGATTGACTTTTTCTTATCAGTGAAGATAACCTAAGAAAGAAATGCGCATAAGATGTTGCCTTTCTGATTTTACAAATATCTCAAGAAACTGCACCTTGTCCCACGACGCGCAAAGTTCAGTCTTGCCAGCTGGTGCTTGGCAGTCAGACAGGGAGCTTTCTTCATGGTCTCTCGAGTGATGTGCTCACTTGATCGAATAGAGCGCCATATTGTCATTTTTGAGACCGGTAGATTCATCGCGGCATGGATCTGTGCCACAGAAAGCGGGGAGTTTGAGGCCATTCTTCTGATGTCTTTTGCGGACAAAGATCGTGGGTGCCTCGAAACAGGTACTGAGTGGTAGCCATCAGGATTCTGGAGGTATATACCAACGCACGTCGCCGAAAGTCCAAGCTGCAATTTCTCTATTCGAGTGTCCTGCAGCACTGAAAGCTCGAATCCGAGCTTGTTCGTCTTCGTAGAGAGGACTACCACGACGAGGCATGAGTACAGGTTAATGGGGACTGAATTTTGCCATGAGACTTTTATTGTTGAATTCCTCATAAGCGAAAACATAGGAGTACACTACTTCTGAGTTTGCAGAATAAAATTTCTGCAAACTCAGAAATAGTGCAATTTTGCAGAATAAAAATTTGAGGTGTCCACATACTTTTGTTACGCACTGTATTTTCTTTCTGAACAGTTGGGATCATGTCTTGGGATCATCGTCACAGAACAAGATGCCAGTTGTCTCAAATTGAAATAACCCACGAGTAACCTATCCTATGTCATGTTTTAATGTCACGCCTATTCTCTCTCAGGGATAGAGAGCGAATGCCCCAATAGTGCGGATTGAATGTAAGCGGATAAGCTCAGTCATTGCTTGTGTGATGTGAGCGATTTCTACATCATCTGGTGTATGGTGTATTTCAAGGGTGCAGTGGTGCAACTCACCTTGGAACTGTCCCGCTCAAACGGAGGTGTCCTCTGAGTAATCACCGAGTTTTTGTGAGTAGTGAGCACGTCAAGAGCATCGCTCTGATTATTGACGGACACCTGGTGCTCTAGAATTTAGCTCACATCGGCAATGAGTCAAGCAGTATGAGGAAAAAATTAACTTGAAACCGTTTGGCTCCTAATGATTCTTAAATCAAACCAAGATTGATACCTGCAAGCGGTGGATAGTCCGCGCTTACGAATTGATCTTGTGCTAATGGCGGTCTCTGCTCATCATCGGGTAAGGGACACACTGAATCATCATCTTCTGCAGTTAATGACTCTTCCAAAATCACATCACTTAACGATTTTGGAAGCACCAGATGACGCGGTGACGAATCGGTAGGCGACGAATCGGTGGAAGACATTCCGTGACGAATGAAGTGTAGGAAACTTTTCATGTTCCATCACCAACACTCTCAGCGGGATGCCTGCTGATGAGTCTCGGACTGCCATCAACAGCGCAGCCACTGCGCGTCCCTCTAACATATTCGACCAGCCGTCCCTTGCCATTGTTTTTAGAGCATATGGGAAGTATGACCGCGGAAAGTTCTACTTGCTAGTATCACGT